CCCTTCATTCCTTCCCTCTCTTCCCCTTCCAACCATTCCTTATTAGTTTTCCAAGTTCATTATCCAGGCTGGAAAATCCATCTCTTCCCCTCTTCCTGCAGGAAAAATCCTTCCTGCCTCAGGTTTTCCTCTCCTTTCCTTTTGTTCCCAGCTCTGACAGGAATATTTGGGATCCTTATCAGATGATTCCCAGGCTCCTGCTCCCTTAGAAATTCCATAGAAAATCAGTGGGAGAATTGAAGGTCCTTGGATTGATCCAACCAGGATATTTTCCCGGGATTGAGTCACCCTTTTTCCCTGTTCCAGCTGAAATCCAGGGTTTGGATTCTCCTCCCTGCTTTTATTCCCCTTGGATTTTAGGGAAGATTCCCTTTGGGAATCCCAGGTGGATTCCCAGCTCCCTCCCCCTGGAAAAGCCTTGATCCAGGAGCAGGTTTTTCCTTGTTCTGTCATTCCTGGGTCACTTTAAGGTGGAAAAGTCTCCTTGAAATCCAAGGAATAAAGGAGGAGACACGGAAAGGTTTGGGCAGGAGGGAAAGAATTCCAGACTTTTCCTCTCCATTCCTCTCAGGGAACTTTAAATACAAACATTTGGGAATTGTTTTCCAAGGGAGAATGAAACCAAGGGGAATTTCTCTCGGGAAGAGCTTTTGTGGGAGGATTTCCAGGTGTTCCAGGGAATGAGATTCCACAAGGAATGAAATTCTCCCTTGCCCTGCTCGGATCCTCCCAGAGCCATTTCCCTCTGCTTCCCTATCCCTAAACACCAATTCCTTGGAAAGCCCTCCCAGCAGGTGCATCCCAGACCCTTGGACACATCCCCAGCCTTTTAAATGTTTCCCTGGAGCTGTATTCCCTGTTTCCCTGGAAATGTATTCCCTGTTTCCCTGTATTCCCTGTTTCCCTGGAGCTGTATTCCCTGTTCCCTGAGTTGTATTCCCTGTTCCCTGGAGCTTTATTCCCTGTTTCCCTGTATTCCCTGTTTCCCTGGAGTTGTGATCCCTGTTCCCCTGGAGCTGTATTCCCTGTTCCCTGGAGCTTTATTCCCTGTTCCCCTGTATTCCCTATTCCCTGGAGTTGTGATCCCTGTTCCCCTGAGCTGTATTCCCTGTTTCCCTGTATTCCCTGTTTGCCTGGAGCTGTATTCCCTGGAGCTGCATTCCCTATTCCCAGAGCCACATTCCCTGTTCCCAGAGCCATATTCCCTATTCCCAGCTCCTCATTCCCTATTCCCAGCGCCTCATTCCCTGTTTCCCTGTGTTCCCTGTTCCCCTGGAGCTGCATTCCCTATTCCCAGAGCCACATTCCCTATTCCCAGAACCACATTCCATATTCCCAGCTCCTCATTCCCTGTTCCTGGAGCCGCATTTCCTGTTCCCAGAGCCATATTCCCTGTTTGCCTGTATTCCCTGTTCCCTTGGAGCTGCATTCCCTGTTCCCACCCTCATTCCCTGTTCCCATCCCTCATTCCCTGTTCCCATCCCTCATTCCCTGTTCCCATCCCTCATTCCTCATTCCCATCCCTCATTCCCTGTTCCCAGAGCTGTATCCCTATTCCCATCCCTCATTCCCCATTCCCATCCCTCATTCCCCATTCCCAACTCCTCATTCCCCGTTCCCATCCCTCATTCTCCATTCCCATCCCTCATTCCCCGTTCCCATCCCTCATTCCCTGTTCCCAGAGCTGTATCCCCATTCCCATCCCTCATTCCCTGTTCCCATCCCTCATTCCCTGTTCCCAGAGCCATATTTCCCATTCCCAGGCCATCGCTGTCCCCCTGCCCGGAGCGGCCATCGCTGCGTTGCCGACAGCTCCAACCTGTACGTGTTCGGGGGGTACAACCCCGACTGTTCCCTGTTCCCACCCCTCATTCCTCATTCCCATCCCTCATTCCCCATTCCCAGGCCATCGCTGTCCCCCCGCCCGGAGCGGCCATCGCTGCGTTGCCGACAGCTCCAACCTGTACGTGTTCGGGGGGTACAACCCCGACTGTTCCCTGTTCCCATCCCTCATTCCTCATTCCCATCCCTCATTCCCCATTCCCAGGCCATCGCTGTCCCCCCGCCCGGAGCGGCCATCGCTGCGTCGCCGACAGCTCCAACCTGTACGTGTTCGGGGGGTACAACCCCGACTACGACGAGTCGGGCGGCCCCGACAACGAGGATTATCCCCTGTTCCGGGAGCTCTGGAGGTACAACTTCGCCACTGACACCTGGCACCAGCTGGGCACCGAGGGCTACATGCCCAGGGAGCTGGCATCCATGTCCCGTACGTACCGGGCGGGGTGGCAGGGGATGGGATGGGATGGGATGGGAATGTGGGGGGTTGGCCGGGGGTGTCACTGGAGGGGTGTTCCAAGCAGAGATCCCAGAGCATCCATGTCATGGGTGTGTGGGAACACAATCCCTGCTCCTGGAGCTGTTCTCATCCTGGTTGTTTTAATGCAGTCAAGATCTGGGAATTCTGGATGATGTTTTGCCAACAGACCCCGAGTTTGGATTGGGATTGGGAGAGGAAAACTGGGAAAGCAGGAGGGGTTTTCCAGGGGTTTCACTGGATGGTTGCTCCAAGCAGAGATCCCAGAGCATCCGTGTCATGGGAGTGTGGGAACACAGTCCCTGCTCCTGAAGTTCCTTTCATCCTGGGTGTTTTAATGCAGGCAAGATCTGGGAATTCTGGATGATGTTTTGCCAGCAGGCCCCGAGTTTGGGTTGGGATTGGGAGAGGGGAAATGGGAAAGCAGGAGGTGTTTTCCAGGGGTTTCACTGGATGGTTGTTCCAAGGAGACACCTCAGAGCATCCATGTCATGGATGTGTGGGAACACAGTCCCTGCTCATGAAGTTCCTTGAATCCTAAGTGTTTTAATCCAGGCAAAATCTGGGAATTCTGGATAATATTTTGCCAACCCAAGTTTGGGTTGGGATTGTGAGAGGGGAACTGGGAAAGCAGGAGGGGTTTTCCAGGGGTTTCACTGGAAACTTCCAGCACACACCTCAGAGCATCCGTGTCATGGGTGTGTGGGAGCACAATCCCTGCTCCTGGAGCTGTTCTCATCCTGGAGAGTTTAATCCACACAAGAACTGGGAATTCTGGATGTGTTTCCAGCTGTTTTGGAAGTGAACCCGAGTTTGGGTTGGGATTGGGAGAGGGGGACTGGGAAAGCAGGAGGAGTTTTCCAGGGGTTTCACTGGATGGTTGCTCCAAGCAGAGATCCCAGAGCATCCCTGTCATGGGGGTGTGGGAACACAGTCCCTGCTCCTGGAGCTGTTCTCATCCTGGAGAGTTTAATCCAGGCAAGATCTGGGAATTCTGGATGATGTTTTGCCAGCAGACCCCAAGTTTGGGTTGGGACTGGGAGAGGAAAACTGGGAAAGGAGGAGGGGTTTTCCAAGGGTGTCACTGGATGGTTGTTCCAAGCAGAGATCCCAAAGCATCCATGTCATGGGTGTGTGGGAACACAGTCCCTCCTCCTGGAGCTGGGATTTAATCCAGGCAAGATCTGGGAATTCTGGATGATGTTTTGCCAGCAGATCCTGAGTTTGGGTTGGGATTGGGAGAGGGAGACTGGGAAAGCAGGAGGGGTTTTCCAGGGATTTCACTGCAGGGTTGTTCCAAACAGGCATCCCAAAACATCCGTGTCATGGGGGTGTGGGAACTCTATCCCTGCTACTGGAGCTGTTCTCATCCTGGAGAGTTTAATCCACACAAGGACTGGGAATTCTGGATGATGTTTCCAGCTGTTCCACAAATAGACCCCAAGTTTGGGTTGGGACTGGGAGAGGAAAACTGGGAAAGCAGGAGGTGTTTTCCAGGGGTGTCACTGGATGGTTGCTCCAAGCAGAGATCCCAGAGCATCCATGTCATGGATCTGTGGGAGCACAATCCCTACTCCTGGAGCTGTTCTCATCCTGGAGAGTTTAATGCAGGCAAGATCTGGGAATTCTGGATGATGTTTTGCCAGCAGATCCTGAGTTTGGGTTGGGACTGGGAGAGGGAAACTGGGAAAGCAGGAGGGGTTTTCCAAGGGTGTCACTGCAGGGGTGTTCCAAGCAGAGATCCCAAAGCATCCATGTCATGGATGTGTGGGAACACAGTCCCTCCTCCTGGAGCTGGGATTTAATCCAGGCAAGATCTGGGAATTCTGGATGATGTTTTGCCAGCAGGCCCCAGGTTTGGGTTGGGATTGGGAGAGGGGAAATGGGAAAGCAGGAGGTGTTTTCTAGGGATTTCACTGGAAACTTCCAGCAGACACCTCAGAGCATCCGTGTCATGGGTGTGTGGGAGCACAATCCCTGCTCCTGGAGCTGTTCTCATCCTGGAGAGTGTAATCCACACAAGAACTGGGAATTGTGGAGGTGTTTCCAGCTGCTCTCCAAGCAGAGCCTGGATTCTCCCTCCTTTGGAGCCCTCAGTGCAGTGTTTGAGCACTCCCTGCTCTCCACGCCTTGGGATCACGGAATGCTTGGCCAGGGACCAATGGCAGGGACACCCTCCCCCTCCACCATCCCAGAACCACCCCAGACCCGGCTGTTTTTCCCAGTTCATCCCAAGAAATGTCCCTCTCTCCCAGTGGTCCTGCACGGGAACAACCTGCTGGTGTTCGGGGGCACCGGGATCCCCTTCGGGGAGAGCAACGGCAACGACGTCCACGTCTGCAACGTCAAGTACAAGAGGTGGGCCCTGCTCAGCTGCAGGGGCAAGAAACCCAACAGGATCTATGGACAGGTGGGAAAGAATTCCCTGGGAGCCACAATTCCCTGCCCTGGGAGTTGTTCCCCCCCCCCACCCTCCTTGGAAGGAAAATTCCCCCCTCCGGGAATAAATGCGGGGAAATCCCGCGCGAGGGAAGCGAGCGGTTCCCGGAGGTTTCCCGGGAAAAGGGAGGGTGGTGGGGGGGTCAGGAGGGTGGGAATGTGGYTGCTGAACACCTGGAGAGGTGGGGTGGGAAAGGGGGGAGGATTTAAGGGGTTGTTCTGGGACCTCAGAACCTTCAAAGCCCAAAATTGGGAGTGAAAAGGGGTCGAAACTCCGAATTCTTAATGAAAAAAAGAGGGTTGGAGGGTTTGGGGTCAAAACTGGGAGTGAAAACGGTGGGGTCAGACCCCAAACAGCGGGGTTAGGGTTTATTTTCCAACCCCAAACTCCAAATGAAAACAGGGGATTGAGGTTTTATTTCCAAACCCCAAACTCCAAATGCAAACAGTGGATTTAGGTTTAGTTTCCAAACCCAAAACTCTAAATGAAAACAGGGGTTTGAGGTTTTATTTTCAAACCCCAAACTCCAAATGCAAACAGTGGGTTTAGGTTTTATTTCCAAACCCCAAACTCTAAACAATAACAATGGGTTTAGGTTTTATTTCCAACCCCAAAACTCCAAATGAGAACAGGGGATTTAGGTTGTATTTCCAAACCCAAAACTCCAAACAATGACAGTGGGTTTAGGTTTTATTTCCAAACTCCAAATTTCCAACCCTGAAACTCCAAATGCAAACAGTGGATTTAGGTTTTATTTTCCAACCCCAAAACTCCAAATATAAACAGTAGATTTAGGTTTAGTTTCCAAACCCCAAACTCCAAATCCAAACAGTGGATTGAGGTTTTATTTCATACCCCAAAACTCTAAATACAAACAGTGAATTTAGGTTTTATTTTCAAACCCAAAACTCCAAATAATGACAGTGGGTTTGGGTTTTATTTCCAACCCCAAACTCCAAATGCAAACAGTGGGTTTAGGTTTTATTTCCAAACTCCAAATTTCCAAACTCCAAATACAAACAGTAGATTTAGGTTTAGTTTCCAAACCCCAAACTCCAAATGCAAACAGTGAATTTAGGTTTTATTTTCAAACCCCAAACTCTAAATAATAACAATGGGTTTAGGTTTTATTTCCAACCCCAAAACTCCAAATGAGAACAGGGAATTTAGGTTTTATTTTCCAACCCCAAAACTCCAAATACAAAGAGTAGATTTAGGTTTAGTTTCCAAACCAAAACTCCAAATGCAAACAGTGGATTTAGGTTTTATTTTCCAAACCCCAAACTCCAAATAATAACAGTGGATTTAGGTTTTATTTTCAAACCCAAAACTCCAAATGCAAACAGTGCATTTAAGTTTTATTTTCCAAACCCCAAACTCTAAAACAGGGGTTTGTGGATCAAATCCCAAAACTTTGAATGAAAACAGGGGTTTGTACATTTTATTTTCATATTCCAAACTCTAAATGCAAACAGTGGGTTTAGGTTTTATTTCAAACCCCAAAACTCCAAGTAATGACAAGAACAAGAACTTTTAGGGCTTATTTTTATCAGAAAAACAACTTTTAGGTCTGATTTTTATTAGA